TGACCTGTGATAGGTCGACCAGAGCGCTCAGCAGATATAACCCAACTGTGTTCCCTCTATCGGCGAACAGGGTAGTCCCGAAGAGGAACATGAGAAAACCGCGGGCATACTGTGCTGCCTCCTCAGGAGTCTATTCCTCTTGTTGAAGATTCGAACGATTGCTTAGTGTAACGTTTCATTATCGAGTACTCGGAACAAAGTGCCCAATTTTGTGTTCGGACCTCGACAAGGCCTTCAATTTTCATATCGAAATAGAATTACAAACACATTTTCCTGCAATCAACAGTTAGAAATGCAAATAATACACAAATCACACAATTAACGCATGATTTCATTTATTCACTTGATCATCATTCTTAATTATGGATTAACAGTTAATTACGGATTGGGGTAGTCACAGTATCGGTTAATATAACAGTGGAGTTGGATATTTATTATCACTTCCATTTTGAAAATGTTGAGATTTTATCTATTGTTGGACAATTTATCTATTGATTAGAAATATCTATTTTGGACTATCGGTGGAGGATAGTTTTGATTGTTATAGAAATCGCATGAGAAATAGGTTAAATTGAAACTAATTTCTCATACATCTTGCATCGAGCATTGCTTCATACTCAAACATTGAAAATGTATTATTTTTGAGAAAAATGAGTGTATACCTTGGTGAATCTGATTAGGGAGTGTGGTTGTGATTTATATTGTTAACTTGCGTGTCCTTAGTAAAAGTACATAAACCCGTGCAGTTAAGTGCTGATCCTTTCGGTTAATACCAATAAAATGACTTTGGTAATGCTTGTATAGCCTACTGGCAAACACATACCTAGAGGTTCCTAGTGTTTGTATCCAGTGCCTTATTTTTTGATGTAAAAGTGTATTTTCATGAATTAAAATGTATTGATAAAGGCATTGCATTGTTTTGAGATGGAAAAGTATAATGTTTGACAAATGCGTGCATGTGCATTCACCTTATAACTTTGTCAAATTCCATACATTGTGTTAGAATATCTCTGCTAGGCTTTAGCTCACCCTATGTGGAAAATAATTTTCAGGTGTTGATGATATGTGTGACAACCCCAATCTCCGGACTATTATATTATATTATTCTAATAAGTTTAATTGTATGATTGTGTGCTTAGTTGTGTGACTATATGCTTACTTTTGTAGCTATATGTTATTATATGAAATATCTGTTTAAATTGACAACTTAGAGACAGAAATTGAGAGCCTAGACAGCTTCAGAAACTGAAATTGACTAGTCCAATAGGTTGATTAGAATATTTAAAATTTTATGGTAACTTTAATTGAAAATTGATTTAGATCAAAATAATTAGAATAAACTGATTGAATTAACTAGAATTAAGCCTAACTAGTTAACCTTAATCATATGTGATTAGGCTAACTTAATCACACCATATAAATAGCTCTAAATAAGCTTATGAGCTCACATATACACACACTTGGCTGAGAATTGAGAGAGAAGGGAGGAGAGTTCAACATTTAGAGAGAGAAAGAGGAGATTGAAGTGAATTGCTAGAGTTTTGGTGAATTGAGCTAGTCCAACACTTGAATTCACACATTAGGTATGAAACTCAAGCCAAATTCTTGGAATCAAGTCATATAGAAACTAAGTTCATGGAGTTAGGGCATCATTTGTTTCAATTTGAGTAGATTGAGCATGAATTACCATAGATATGATGAATTTGAGTTGAATTATGTACATGCATGCTTAATCTTTCATTTCTGAGATAAGATTTCTTGAAATTCATACATGCATGAAGCTTAGGAGGTATGAACTTGAAGACCATCCATGAATTCATGCATTTCATATCACTTAGTGGTGTTTTAACATGAAGGAGGCTCAATCCATAACATGTATGGTTTCAACTTGAAAATTTAAGCTTGAACTTGGACAATTGAAGCATGATTTTGAACAAATGGTTCAATTTGGAAGTATTTTCATGTTATATAATGATTTTCCAAGTTTTTGTACTAAAAGCACAAGTTTTGAGGCTTTGAATTTGAAGCTCAAACATAGTTATGGAAATTCCAGAATTCGTGTTGTCCACTCGAGCGAGGAAAGCTATGCTCGAACGTGAATATCGGGCTCCCAGAAGTTTTGCAAAATTTTACTGTCCACTCAAGCGACCAAAGTGGCGCTCGAGCGAGGACCCTTTTTACTCAGTCTTCTGCTCGAGCAACCGTTGAGTGGGAATTTCATGCAACAAGTACTTTTGCCAAGTTTGTAGACCGCTCAAGTGTCAGAAGTTGCGCTCGAGCGACCACCTTTGTTTTTGAAATCCCGCTACAGCGAAGGAAGTTACGCTCAAGCGGAGACCCTATTTTCAGCAAAATTTTACCAACTCTTTTTAGTGCATTTTTGCATTCTCATGTCACTCCAAGTATTCTTAGGCACCATTTGGACTCATATAATCATAGAATGAGTTAGAAACACATAAAGAGAATTGAATTAAATTGAAATGGAATTTCAATTGTGCTTTGTTATGTGTTTTGTTTAGGTGGACGTTCGAGGCTTAGTGACAACACAAACCTCTGTGAGTAATAACTTTATAAAGATATGTCCAAATTATCTTACTTTCGAAAATGTTATTGCTATCGAAATGAATTTGTGATTGATTGAATAAATTATTGAAATGATTTGATAATTGATAGCATGGCCTATTGAAAACGTTATTTTCTTATAATGAATGAAGTTCTATTTTGAAATGGTTTTGTGGCATCCATTGAATGTAGGTCCTTGCCTGGGGGTGACAATACCATGGCTAGGCCCTTGCTTGGAGGAGATAATGCCGTGGCTTTTGGGTTGATTGACATATGGTCTGTTATTACTAGAATGTTATCACTTAATGGATGTACCACATAAAGTGATATTGAAAGATCTTGTTGATGAAATGAAATTTGATTTGACAATATTATTGAGCTTCATTCATATAACCTCTTTATTCTGTTATTACTCATTGGGCTCCAGCTTACTATTTGTTTATATATATATATATATATATATGTGTGTGTGTGTGTGTGTAGGTGGGCAAGCCGAGCAATAGGGTTAGAAAAGCCTCGAGTCTACCAAAGTCAGCCTTTTGTGGAGCTTCCAAGTGAAGTAACCAGGCTCGGTTGGAGCTATGCTAATCAAACCCCCTTTTTGTGTGTTTCAGTGATTTTGTATTCTTTTATATAAATGGGGTTGTATTTTGTAAGACATTAATTTTTGTATGACTGCGATGGATGTACTTTTGGGACAAACTTTGCTTAGTATACTAATTCTCTACATATACGTACAATTCAATGGATAATTTCTATGTCATTTTAAGCTTCCGCTAAGCCTGTACTTTATATTAAGAGATTTTTTTGTATGGAGGCCGTAGGTAATCTATGATTACTGGCCGGTCATGATGCTGAACCTATAGGGACGGGTTTGGGTCTTGACAATATGTCTCCACCAAAGACTTAGCTTGGGAGAACTGTAGAGTTGAAGGCTCATTTTTGTTTCTTGTTATAATTATTTTGTACAAGCCTTGGGCTTTAACTGTAATGAATTGAACTCACTTTTGTTGTATCCAAGTATTGTCTTGGAAAGATGTAGCCATTAGGGTATTAATTTATCTGTATAACTTTTTATTTCAATTCACTCATATGTGGCATATGTTATAGATTCAAGATTTAAGATTTATGAATGTATACATGTATATGTCATATTTTGTATGAACAAGGAGTATAAATGGAAATATTAAATATGATGTTATTAATAAATTCTACGGGATATTATGATGTGGGCTATGGTTATTATTTTGGGGACTTATATTAAAACTCAAAAAAAAACTGCCAAGTAGGCCTTGCGAGGTCGAAATCGAAAAGTAATATAATTTGTTTTCACCAATTTAAATAGAATGATTCACGACACCCTAATTATTATAATAATAACAATACAATTAAATTATTTGGAAATTCATACCAATCTAACTCCAATCAATACTCGAACTCGCAAATTTGCCAAGAAGATTATTAAATAGATACCGAAAAATAAATAAATCGAAATTGATTGGACTCGTTGCACTCATTCAAATTAATAGTCCCTCCCCCTTCCATTAATCCTACAATGAAGGTAAGTGATCTTTTTCACGGGGACGGTTTTAGCCTAGAATGCTACTCAAATTCATAGTTGGTTAGCTCCGATTGATGCTGAGACTATTTTAGCTATTCCCTTTTGTCCTAGTCAAGTTAATGATATGTTGGTTTGGCACTTTACCAATCAGGGTGGGTGTATTTACGGTAAGGTCGACATATCATCTTGCTATGGATATCGTAGCTCGCTAGTCATTTTTTCAGTTAATTCTGTTAAATAAAAAAATTGATATTTGTAATTTTTCAAACACATAATTTGTAGTTTAAGTAAATCTCAAGGGGTGTATTTGTAATTTATCCTAAAATATATTTTAAAAGATTTTGATTAATTTAATCTTAGGGTAAATTGCACTTTGACGAAAAAACACAGAGCCTCTCTGTAGTTTCACTTGTAATATTTAAACTCTCTGTACTATATATTAGAGTGTAATTTTGGACGGACGTAACAAAAGTAATAAAAAGTAAAAAATGCCCCTAGATATTTTACTCCCCAAGTCGTTTATTTTACTAATACAGTTTTTATATCTCTATCTTTTCTCTCACCATGGTTGATGCAATTGAACTAGGTTTTCAATATCGATCCATCGTATTGCGAATGCCATTGCTAATTTAGTTATGTTTTGTTCACCTTAATTTATTTCGATCATTAGAACTGTGTTAGATGTTGATTTTGGATAATTTTTTTTCATATCTTTATTTGTGTTTACTTCAGTTTACAAAATTTGTAATTTTTTACGCATAGTATGCTTGTATTGCTTTATTTTTTTGAGGATTTTAGTTAGAGTAGGGTGTGGTGGGGTATAAAACTTCATAAATAATGGGCTTAGGGTAATTTTTCCATGATGTTAACTTTGGATATTTTTTAAACATATATTTGTTTGTGTATACTTGAGTTTAGAGATTTGGTAATTTTTTTACAAATGACATGCCTTTTGTGACTTTATTTTTTTTGGACTTTGGTTAAAGTTAAGTGGGGTATAGAGCTTTTAATGAAACTGCATACTATTTTCATGATGTTGATTTTGGATATTTTTATTCATGTCTTCTGTTTGTGTTTGGTGAAGTTTAGAGATTTTGTAATATTTTATGCATGACATGCCTTTATTAGTTAAATTTTTGAAAATTTTAGTTAAGGTGGGGTATAGCTTTATAAACAATTAATATTTTGTTGTGGTCCCAATGACTTTGATTTTTGTAATGCGGTCCTAATGACTTTAATTTTTGTAATGTATTGTTCACTTTTGTTGTTTTGTGCAGTGAGATAAAAAAAAAATGATTTTTGAGATCAACTATAGTGGGTACTTCAGTAAGCCCCATGATATTGCTTATGAACAAGGGAAACTGGAATATATTTACGATGTTGATCTTGACAGGCTATCTTTTTTTGAGATAAATACTATGTTGAGGGAGTTGAAAATAGATGTCTATAGTTAGGGGTGAGTAGTGGATATATCCGTCCAAACTGGCTGAACCGAACTGATTCGCCACATTTTGGATGGATGCGTGATGACAAGCGGAAGGTTGAGGATTGATTTTTTTCAATCCGTCTAGTTTTGGACGGATGGCGAATTTGATGTTCATTTGGCCGCAATCAAACTGCCAAACCACGAGCACCCCTAGTAATTTGTAAGACTTTGTATTTTCAATTTATTTAGATATTATGTTTGTGTTTTCAATTGAAAAAATGTTTAAATATTTTGTTGAAAAAGAGTTTTCAACTTGAATATATTTTTTGAATTGAAAAAAATAAATGTATTATTTATCTTTGTTTTTTGGTTTTTAAATCTAACTCTAAAAATAATAAATAAAAAAGATGATATATGTTGATCGGTTTTTGTTTTCAAAAACAGATATAGATGTAACAATACAGATGCATACAATCTCTACTATTGCTCTGTTCATAGTTTTAGTGGTTTGAATTGTTTTTATATTTTAAGAACCACATATTGTAATACTTTATGTGGAGAAGACATGTTGTGATTGTAATATGTGGATGAGACATGCAGTGATTGTAATATTCTAAAATTTCAAACATTCTTTCTTTGGATGAGGCATGCAATGATTGTAATACTTTTTTAAGTCATTCACTCTAATAACTTTTATTTATTATTTTTTTTTGAGGAAGTGCACAAGTTGAATTATATTCAAAATTTATAAAATTTTAAACCGCTAAACCGATTCGTATCTATTTGTCGCCAATCCGCTCAATCTAAAATATTTCACAAGATGATCAGCAGTGGATCCAAACTCATGTGTCATGCATCCTAAGATACTTCTTAGGTTATTTTTGAATTTCCTCAAACATTTACCATGATTTCAGGGACTGCTCAAAATTAGGCACTTTGTCGAACAAAAATTTGTAACAAAATTAACACTTCTTAGAAATCACTACAGCAGAGATGATGAATTACAACAATATTCCACCTCAACAACTTAAATTTTAAGAATAAAACTTACAACAAAAAAGGGGCCTCCTTTCATTGAGTTTGTCCAAACTACTTCTTCTTCTTTCCTTTCTTTGATATTTGAACCTGCATTTGACAAGAACAAATAACATGAATAAAACATAATTCCAAATTAGATAAAATTATTCGACAGTTTTTTTAACATTATGAGACATATTAACAGTTTTTTTTTTTTTTTTTTTGTAACATTCATCTATAAGATTTTTGTACCTGAAAAGGCTTCACCAATGTACCATATTGACAGCAAAATAATGTTAAAAGTTTTCAATTATTTGAGTTTTAAAAAGAAGTGCCCCTTAGAAGCACCAATCTAGTGATTTAAATTAAATTAGAATTTAAAACTAAGACCAACATAATTCCAAATGTTCAATACCAAAAAAAAAACAAAAAAACAAAAACAGCAACTCCAAATTCAATAGCAAGGATAAGCAGTAATCCCATAAGCAAACAACAGGCAATAATCCCGTGTAAAAGTATCTCTAACAGCAGCACCAACCAATTAAAATAGCAACATTAAATACACAACTTCATTACTAATTTTGAGATCATATTTTGTGCAATACTTCATTCAACTAGTAGATTTAACAATTACGTTGTCAAATTGTTCAAAATACACAGCCTCATAATAAATTTCCCCATATAACTGCTGCAAAGTAAAAGAAATCCAGAAGCCACAAAAAGAAACAAATCCAACGCAGCCTATAAATCACATTCGAAGATGATTAGAAAAGGGCAAATCATACCTGTCATTGTTATAATCCATTTGGGCAAAAAGTATCATTTAGAACACTTAAATTGATAAATGAAGGCAGACACATTTTCCTTCTATTTATATTGTAACTCTAACCCCCACCACATCCTAAGACAGAAACTTTTGACAGAGATGACATATCAAAACTAGCAACAAGAAATGTGAAAGCAACGAAGATTGATGCGACCTACTGTTGCCATAATTCTCCCTGCAATATGCAAAATGATACAAGACTACACAAATAGAGAATATAATAATTTAAAAGGATATGTAGTCAATGCTCCAGAATACAAGAAGCACTATGAGTAAGTAAAAGCAAAATTATAGAACATATCACAGGCATGAACATGAGCTGGAAAAAAAATGCTATTTGTACCATGGAACTGAAGAATATGCAGCTGGCACTCTCTCCATAAAGTTACAGCCTAAACTCGACATTAAACTGAAATGTTACACCAAAGCATGTCATGTGCTTTTTTGTCACATCCAATAAATAGAAATCAACACCAGTTTAAGATTGAATATACCACACTACTTAGAATTATAGCGGTTCTTTGGAAAATAGGATGTCTGTAACATGTAGGTGCTTGCAAATAAAGACATATTTTCAGATACAACACGAGTAAACATGCCTTGACAAAAAATTTAGGCCTACCTTAGCCATGGGACAATGACTGAGGTATCTAAACCACCACTATAGGCATAAACCACTTTATTTAATTTTTTGCGTAAAACTCCCCCATTGCCATCTGAAGAGGCTACCATCTTTTTGTCACTGCTCAAAACCGCTTAAATAGCTGCACTTTTTAAGGCCAAAACATTAAAGAAAATGAAAGAAAAAAGAATAAACAAAATATCAAACAGAATATTTCAAGAGCTTTAGAAAATGTACAAGAAATATACCACTAAGTAATTATCCAAGGTTGGAGTCTTTCCGAAATTTGGTTCCATTTTGATGTTATGTAATAAGATGAGAAAAATAACAAGCTGAAATTATAGTTATAATTTGACTGTACCTCAATATTTATGATTTATGAGAAAGAAGACTGATATTGTGGAAAAATGAAGATGTGGTGAACAAAACCCAAAACAGAAAAGGTAGTACTTCGAAGGAAAGTACAATAACAATAAAAACGCTTACATGATGCATTAAAAAAACTATTGCCACTAATATACTCTATAAAAATTTATTGTCACTAGTAAAGAAATCAACATGAGTTCCTTCACACAAATAACCCATCTATCATGTATGACACCCAAAAAAATATTAAAATTTAAATAAACAATAATAACAAATCTCAATCGAGGGGAAATAAAAGACTATTACCTCTTGGAATGAAGGCAACTTCTTTGAACAACATACTTTATTAGGATGCAGGAATGGATTTGTAAATGAAACAAATTTTATTAAAATTAGAAGCTTAGCAAATACCCAGAAAAAATAAGTGAAATTAAATGTCTGCATTCACATAAATAGTTAATTGCTCACCATATCATCAATTTCTGGTCTGTTGTATGCTATGAAGCATATTGCAGGGAGAATCATTTTGCATACGAGCTGTAACGCCCTCAAAATAATACATAAAACCCATCACTTTAGACATGCATTGATATAAAAGAAACCAACCATTTCTATTCATCAGAGTAATTCTTACAACTGTATTACATGTTAACAACAAAAGCAAATGCCCTAAGGGCTTACAGCTTTCCAAGTCAACACTTGGTTACACAAAAGAAGAGTACTAACTCTATACAAAATAAGCCCTTGGCTTGATATACATGTAATACAAACAAAATAATCAAAAAGAGTCTTTAACTCCCATAACCATCCAAGCTATGTCCTTGGAAGTGGCATGCTACCTGTACCTGAAAATGATGTCCCATAAAGGGTGAGCCAACGCCTAGTAGAAATATGCTAAACACAGTATGAGCAATAACTAAGACATTAGCAATTGATAAATGTTCAATTTCCATAAATCAATTCATAACCCATTTCCATTTCATGACCACTATGTTCATGTTTTATTTTAGTTTCCATTTCTTATCAATTTCACAATTTACATCAACGGCTCAGAACCTGGCCAACCACTTATATGAGACAGTGACTCATATTAAACGTTTCCTATTTTATAATAGATAAACATACTAGTTGTATCAACATCTCAACAGATAAGCATACAAGTTGTATCCACATTTCAACAGATATGCATATTAGCTATATCAACACTTCCAAAGATAAGCATATGAGCTGTATCAACACTTCCATAGATAAGCATATAAGCTATATCAACACATTATCTGCCAAGCATATGAGCTGTATCAGTGGAGTCCATCCCCTATCTCCTCCCAAACAACATCCGGTTTAGAGGTCCATCCCCTATCTTCCCCTAAACCGTGGAGTACATCCCCTATCTCCTCCCACACACACAACGTATATACGGTCCATCCCCTATCTTCCCCTAAACCATGGAGTACATCCCCTAGCTCCTCCC